GCGAGAGAGGGAGAGAGAGTGTGTGCGAGAGAGGGAGAGAGAGTGTGCGTGAGAGAGGGAGAGAGAGTCTGTGTGAGAGAGGGAGAGAGTGTGTGTGAGAGAGGGAGAAAGAGTGTGAGAGAGAGAGGGAGACAGAGAGAGAGAGTGTGTGAGAGAGGTGAGAGTGTGTGAGAGACAGTGTGTGTGAGAGAGTGCGTGTGAGAGAGAGGGCATGTAAGAGACAGCGTGTGAGAGAGAATGCGTGAGAGAGAGTGCGCGAGAGTGTGTATGAAAGAGTGTGCGTGTGAAAGCACGAGAAAGTGCGTGAGAGAGAGAAAGCGTGTGAGAGTGAGCACGCGAGAGAGAGTGTGTGTGAGAGAGCACGAAAGAGAGCGTGTGAGAGAGAGAGAGAGTGCGAGTGAGAGAGACAGAGAGCAGGAGTGTGTGTGTGAGAGAGAGAGTGTGTGCATGCGCGCGTGTGTGAGAGAGAGAGAGAGAGAGTGTGTGTGTGTGTGTGAGAGAGAGAGAGAGTATGTGTGTGTGAGAGAGAGAGATTGTGTGCGTGTGTGTGAGAGAGAGAGATTGTATGCATGTGTGTGTGTGTGTGTGTGTGTGTGTGTGTGAGAGAGAGAGTGTGTGTGAGAGATAGAGACAGAGAGAGAGTGTGTATGTGTGTGAAAGCGTGAGAGAGTGCGTGTGAGAGAGAGTGAGAGAGAACGCGAGAGAGAGAGCGCAAGAGAGAGCACGAGAGAGTGCGTGAGAGAGTGTGCGAGAGAGAGACAGCACGAGAGAGAGAGCACAAGAGAGTGAGTGAGAGAGGGAGTGAGAGAGACAGGGAGCGGGAGAGTGTGTGCGAGACAGAGCGGGAGAGTGTGTGTGAGACAGAGAGCGGGAGAATGTGTGTGAGACAGAGTGTGTGAGAGAGAGTGAGTGAGTGTGTGTGTGAGAGGGAGAGCGTGTGAGAGAGAGAGAGCGCGAGAGAATGAGTGTGTGAGAGGGAGAGAGAGAGTGAGAGTGAATGTGTGTTTGTGACAGAGAGAGAGAGAGCGTAAGAGAGCAAGAGAAAGTGTAAGAGAGAGAGAGAGACAGAGAGAGAACTCCTGAAGGACACAGCACCATGCTCTCCTGCTGTGTGAGGAGGCAGTGATCCCAGAACGGTGAGGTGACACGTGGGAGGGAAGAGGGAAGGGGCCAGGACAGCGATGGGACACCAGGGCTCTGGGACACATTGGGCAGGGAGTGATCAGATGGACGTGAAAGCAACGGCAGGGAAGGACAGAAAACCGGGCTCGGCTCACTCCCAGCTCCACCACCTCCCGCAGCAGGACCCCAGCCTCAGAGTGGCTCAGCCCAATGACCACGCCTCATCCTACACTGTAAACCAAACTGAGGGGCATCACTTGGAGGAGGGGGGAGGGCTCTACCCCCTGGATCCGTCCAGGCACTGACTGAGGTCCTACTGATCGGGCTGGCTCAATACCATGGGCATCTGAACCACAGTGAGTCTGAAGCCAAGCTGGCAGAGTGTGTGAGGTGGCAGAGGTTAATAGCGTTGTTGAACTCTTCCTTTACTTTCTGTTACCTGTCTGCGAAGGGGGATACTCTTGGCAAGCTTGTGGACAGCGAGTTGCCTATTGAAGTCGGCTTTCTTGGCAGAGCTCTTCATGCGGATGATCACGGCGGCTACTACCATGCAGGAGGTGAGGAATGCTCCAGTGCAGTAGATGATGATCTCCAGGTAAACAGGAGAGGTTAGGGCTGAAGGCTTCTCCTCCATCACTGCCGCAAGTGGGAGAAAGAGCTGATTTACAAAACGGGGCGCAGAAAGGAAGAGACAAACAGAAAGACACAAACACGCAGAAAGAACAACCCCACAATGCCCACAGCAGCAACACTGTGAATGCAGGGCACACTGGGGAACATGCGTCATGTGGGAAAGCTCAGCGAGGGGGCCATCGGCTGGTAGCTCACTCCTTGCAGCCCCTCAGCCGTGTGCTGTTCCCCACCCCCTCCCATCCCCACACACACCCCAACCCATGCTCTGCTGCCCTCACACCATGCAAGACACTGCCACCCTCACCAGGATGGAGAGCTGCCTGATCGCACTCAATGCCAGGCTCTGTGATCAGGGATCAGTTAGTGCTGGTGCCCATCCACAGCACAGTCACAATTCCCCCACTTGTTATCCTGCTCCCCAACCCCACCCCCCCACCACCCCAGGGGCACCATCCCCAGCAGCCCATAGACAAGGAACCCTGGGGCAAATCCTGTCCCTGCCTCCAGTCACGTCCCTGCCAGGCTGCCATCCTGTCTCCGGCTTTGGTCGGAGTGGAGATGGGGAGCAAGGTTGATGCTAACTCTCCCAAAGTGGGTGTGGGTGAGGGCAAGGGTGTGTGGGTGTGGGTGAGGGTAAGGATGAGGGTGTGGGTGAGGGTGAGGGCGTGGGTGAGGGTG